GGTACAATAGTATCATTAGATTCCTTAAGATCACAGCTTTTATTTTAAAACATATATATATACTGACTACAAGTTATTATAGACATATATATTGACTTCAAGTTAAAACTTGAAAAATTACTTGTGAGATACAGAATTTTCATAAGTCCGGACAGCAGTTTTATTATTCTGCTTTTAAGTAGAATATCACTAGAAAAAATTATTACGTATGTTTACCTAGTTTAAAAATGTATTGATAAGTGGAAACATAGATTGTGCACAGTAAATCTTTAGGACTAAGGGGTTGAACTGTGTAAAAAATATTCTTTGCATAAAATAATTTAAATGAAAAAAATTACCTGGAAATATTTTCTTAGTTCATATATTAATAATTTATTCAGAAATGCATTAGACAGCTAGATATTTATTTAGCTAATTGAATTAAATAAAAATTAGATTTGTGGATTTTAATTACTCCTGTAACTAAGTCAATGACCTCTCGTAAATCTCAATAAACTAAAGGGATGCTGCTGGGTGTATATAAATTGCTGACCCTCAATTATAGATTCATTGATTACCCTCTACTGGAAAATGTCGGGCAATCACTCACCCAGCGCGTTTCAAACAGTAATTGCTGGGTTAAGTACTACTGGCCATCGATAGGCCGGTATTGTTGGCTCGACAGGAGGCCAGCCATTCACTTTAGTACAGTTGAAAGTGACTTTTGCCGGCACAGACCAGTCGCTTTAGCTGGTGGCAAACAGCAGTTTTGTGGAGCTGGACCTACAGATTTATTTTTGCTGGGATCATATCGTTAAAATAACTTTACAGACTCTTCTGTGTATAACATCTTGTTAAAATTCTAAATTTTAGTGTTACCGAAAACTGAAAATGGTGTCACCTACTCTTCGACATGTAGTGCAAAAGCAATTTCTTGGTATTTCACTGCATTTAGGTTATTTTTGGTTCTTGGTGTGCAAGGGTCGCCATAAAAGGGCGACCCTTGCGATTTCTTGCGATATCAACCTCAAAGAATTTAAATTATGCTTTGAAGATGTGGATTATCTTTCCCCCGAATTGATCCTCTAATGAATTATTGGGCCACTTTCTGCACATATTTTCGGAATTGTTTGCAAGATGAATTATTACTTGACCTTTAAGTAATTAGTTTTGAATAAATATAAACATTTAAGATTTTGTCGTCGGGCTCAATATTAAAAATCGCATTCCTCATATATGGCTTCAGTCATGTTAACTTTATATTAACAAAGCAGAGAAATAAATTGAATGTGGAATGTTTAAGAAATACGTAATTTTTTAATTATTTCTTTAATAGAGAGTTGAATAAGTGAAATACAAAATCTTGGAGGTTGATGATTAAAAATTTACCGACCCTTGGAGTCAGGAAACACCAAGAAACAAAACTTATCTGTCGTGTCTTAGAACAAATTAGTTGTGCCACCATTTTTGATACAAAGGCACACTAAAATATTTTATAGTATATGGAAAAAAGTATATTAGGTGAATGTCTTTGTGTACACCCTAATTTATTAACCCCTTGCCGGGATAGCCAGGTTGGTAGGGCATTAGACCCATGTCCAATAGGTCGTGAGCTCGATCCCGGTGCAGTAAATGTTGACTGATGCATGTTAAATCTACCGGGTCCATATTCCCATAACAAATTATACCTCTGGGAGTACTGATCCAGGAGTTTCCTTGTCTCCTGGATTGAGTTCAAAATTACAAGGCTATTGAGTTGAACATTAGCAGTCGTAAACCTCCCAAAAAATTGTGTCGGTGGTTCAATGACTGTTACAAAAAAAAGAAAAATAGATAAACCCTGAGCCGTGGTGGCTCAGGGGATAAAGCGCTCATCTCCCGATGAAGTGAACCCGGTTTGAATCCCAGTAAAGGCTGGTCGATACGAATTCTGCACCCGGCTCGCACCAACCAAGTTGATGTTAAAGTATCCTTAGTTGTAGACGGATCATGGGTTAGAGTCCCCTTGCCATCAAGCTAACCGTGGGAGGTTTTCCTCTCCATGTAACGGAAATGCGGGTTATTTCCCTCAAAAAGTTATCTCAGAAGGTAAATTTCTCCCAATACTTAATTTAGTAACTCCGTTGTCTTCCGGATTGGGTTCAAAATTAAAAGACAACTTAGTTGAACATTGGTAGTCGTAAACCCAGAGTTGAGACGGCTGTTTAATCGACGATTATAAAATAAAATAGATAAACTCTGAGGACACTTAATATCAAAAAGTCAATTTCTTACTAAAAGAAATTCTTTTCTTAAAAAACAAATTTCAGCCCTGTTTTTAAATGTTTTGCCTAAAGCAAAATTAAGAGATTTTTTAGCAGCGAATTGTGTACTTAGATAAAATAAAATTCTGGAATTTTTTTTTTAAAATTTTATGCTTTAAACTTTATATTTATTATTTACAATTATATACTTTAAATTTCTAAGTATTTAAAACTTTTAAATATTTACAACAATGCTTCACATGAAACGTTTGCAACAATAGTAAACTATTACAGAAATATTAAAAAAAAAATGTTTTGGACATTATTTCAACAATCAATGCTCTGTTGCGAACATAAAAGTATCTGACAACAATGGTAATAAATACGTTAAAAATTCATTCTTGTTTGAGCTTTCTCAAATGCGGTTTGTGTTTTGCGATTAAAAAAACCTATTGAGAGATAATTATGAATCGAAGCGATTTATATCGTTTTGCTGTGTTGAATAACTGGCGGAAGGAACGGGAAAAATATCCCAGACCTAATCGTAAGCATAAAAAACGTATTTTTTGTGATTTTAACTGTAGTTAGATATTTAAATGGAATATGCTAAAAACAATCTAAAACTTCTGTACAGCAATCAGCATATTTTTCGGAAACTTAATTTTGGATAAAAAATAGAGAAATCGTTAATATAAATAAAAAAACTTTTCTTATATTGTAGAAAATATTTTGTTTCAAAATTTTTCCCCACACTTTACTATTCATTTATTCATTTGAACTTAATTCCAATAAAAATACTTTGTTACATGGTAGTATTAAAAAAGGTACTGTGTGATTATACCATCAACCTGTCAACACCCACAATCCTTTGGCGATATCATAATAAAGAGTAATTTCCAACATAAGCATTCTAAACTCATTAAATTTATCAAATAATACTAATAAAATAATAGCAAAAAAATGCAAGTGTAAAAATACGTAATAAAAAAGTGTAATAAAAAGAATCGAAACAAAGTACTAACTGGGGATCAAACCCCAGTCCTTCACATTGACAGTCTATTGCCATCGCAGCTCTAAATAAATAAGACAGCTTTGAAATATGTTGAGCCTTTTCAAAATTTTATCATATTTACGAAACATTAAATTTTTTTTATAAGGGTAAGTTCATAAGTGATGAGGAATAATGGTATTTCATTGGCACTTCAGTTGTATTACTCTTTTGGCTAAGAGGTAATGCAAGTCACAGGATAAACAGACAAAAGGAAACACCGCAGAATGAAACAACTAATTGTTTTGGCGATTTTCATTGGCACTTCAGTTGTTTTTCTCTTTTGTCTAAGAGGTAATGTAGGTCACAGAATAAACAGCAAATGAAACACCACAGAATGAAGCAACAGAATGTTTTGGTGATTTCATTGGCACTTCAGTTCTATTACTCTTTTGGCAAAGATGTAATGTAAGTCACAAGATAAACAAGAAAGGAAACACCGCAGAATGAAACATTTAATTGTTTTGGCAATTTTCATTGGCACTTCAGTTGTTTTTCTCTTTTGTCTAAGAGGTAATGTAGGTCACAGAATAAACAGCAAATGAAACACCACAGAATGAAGCAACAGAATGTTTTGGCGATTTCATTGGCACTTCAGATCTATTACTCTTTTGGCTAAGAGGTAATGCAAGTCACACGATAAACAGGAAAGGAAACACCGCAAAATGAAACGACTAATTGTTTTGGCGATTTCATTGCCACTTCAGTTCTATTGCTCTTTTGGCTAAGAGGTAATGTAAGTCTCAAGATAAGCAGGAAATGAAACAACTAATTGTTTTGGCGATTTCATTAGCACTTCAGTTGTATTACTCTTTTAGCTTAGAGGTAAAGTAAGTCGCAGGAAAAACAACAAATAAAACACCACAGAATGAAATAACTAATACGGAAAGAACGAGAAATTAAAACTTTCAGAAAAAAAAACTTATAAGCAAAACTAGACCGTGGTTTATCTCTAAAAATATTACAATGAAAAACTTTTGGCAATTAGACAGGTATCTATTTCAGAAGTCGCAAAAAATCGCCGATTCGTTATTGACATAAAATTGGCTTAATTAATTGCAGTTATAAGCGTTACTGGTGCATTAGTTTTTTAATATACTAGTACGGTAAACCTAATATACTTAAGGTGGTAATAGGATTTTTACTGCAACCTGAAACAGATGAATATCATTTAAAAGTAGGATTCAAAATGAATAATATGGCATGACAGTTAAGCAATTTACCATATTTGTTCAGAATATTTTATCCTTTATTTTCTTCGTGCATTGCATTCTTTATTTAATTTTTGTTATTCATTTGACCAAATACATAATTTAGGATAGTCAAATGATAATTAGGTTGTCTTTCAAGAGACAATCACTTGTGTTTCCAAGATTACATTGGACAAACTCTTGATAGTTATGCAATGTTTTTCGGAGATAAAAATAGAGGCTTCTAAAACAGAAATTAAACATTCTATATTATGAAAACTACAGAAATAAAAACAAATATTTATAAACATATTTGTTTTTAAAAAATACGTTTCTATTTTTTAATCAATGATATCGGAGATATTTTTAAAAAAAATTAATTTAAAAGCAGAACTTATACTTTAAGTCATTTTGAATATAAGTACCGAAGAAATGAACGTCTAAGTGTGGCATTATAGTAAAATTTTGTCCTTTGAATCAATTGATACATCATTAATTTAAACGTGATTTATTCACATTTTATTTTGATTAATATTTCAGCTTATGAGGATGGGAGCGAATTCGATGATGAATTCGATGAGGATGAGGATGAATGTGAATTAGATGAGACTGGTATTGACCAGGTGTAAGTAGTTATTTTTGAAACCTTGCTCGGGATAACCCTCGTATAATGAGATCTGAGTAGTTTGTCTAAAATAAAAACTCCCAATTGTCTGGACTCGTAACGGAGACTATGGTAACGAGGCATAACCATTTCAAATAGGGGTGTGGGGTTATTGTTCAGGAAAAGTTTTGACTCGGGTCGGTGACATAAAAGAATTTTTTTTCTCGGTCTATTATGTGAGCCACGGAGTGAAGAGGGGCTACCTTCCCTGAAATGCGCTATTCATGATTCCATAGCAGCAGAGGGGAGTTCATACCGAAGACAAACTTTATGTTTGTGTAACTAGTATACAGAGAATTCATGTCCTGTAAAATTTGATTTCTATTCGATCTTAATACTCACTCTAAATGTAATAAAAGTAGAATAATTTTAAAATTATTCAATTACGAATTTTAATAACAGTATATTTCTTTTATACTATCGACTGCCTTTAAAGAAATATCATTACTTTTTATAAGTTCTTCATAGTAATCATCCTCATTGTTCTCAATGCGATTAGTTGAAGCCCAGAAATTTATTTTTAATAGAGTGGAAAATCATTGGATTAACTATTTTTTAACACTTATATACTTATATTATTTAGGACGTTATATGAAACATGGGAAATTTATACATAAGGTCCATCAGGTGCTTTATATATATNCCTATTTGAATGCAATTATATATATTTATTTTAAGGAAATGTACTATCTGTAAATATTTTGTATCTGTCTAAGAAAATATATCTTAAATCAAATTAAGCAGAAAATGAATTTCAAATAAATTTTTTTATCACTTTTACAATAAATTGATCTTAAAAAAATCGATATAAGTAAACATTTTTTTTTAAAACTTTAGCTTTGATACTGAGTATGAAGGAGAAGAGCTGGCAGTAGCAGCTGATGATTTGTTTAATGAAGATGATGACTATGAGTCGGAAAGGTATAATCATTCGAATTGTATATAAATATTTCTGTTATAATCCTTTTAAATGTTTAACCCCTTCCTTCTCGCTCCCGTCAAAATGACGGGGTGAGGTTTTGCCCTTTATTTCTCGCTCCCATAATATTGACGGGTTGGAGTGTTCAATAGTAAAGCGCCAATAAGAATAAAACTAATTCATTTCTTTTGCCCAGAAGACATTTTATTTCTCATTTTACACACTAGATGGCAGTACCAGGATATTTTTAAGGTAATTGTAGATAGTTCATTTTAAACTGGTTGCAGCATTAATCAAATACGTAATACAAATACAAAAGTAAAAAATAGAGACTTTTATGACTGTTTTCTTGAAAATTAACCGATCGTTAAGGAGTTAATATAATTTTGTTATATTAAGCATTGTATTAAACATTAATGTTTTCTATGCCACTGAATTGTGAAATTTTAAAACGTTCATTCTTTTAAGCATTTTTTTCTCCAGAAATTATTTGTCTAATTTTGTTTCAATTTTAAGTTTTGTTTTCTAGCTATTATCTTATGAATCTTGATATTGGATATTTTTTTGGACTATTATAGAACTAAAAAAATAATAATTAAGAAAATGAAATACTAGAAAATATCTTTAATCAAACCAGTTTTGCAAATGCATGCATCTTTTCGATTCGCGTAAATAGCTTGAAAGACAGACAAGTATACAAAAGAAAAAGAAAATTGACATTAAGTGATCCAAATTTTTAGCCGCTTTTCCGAAAAATTTTGGGACCCTATTTTCGAGTGTGCTATTCACCTCATACTTTGGGGTCAGGAATTCTTTTAAAAAAACATGTTATTTTAGAGAATGTACGTTTTTCTGTCGAATTTTATACCTTAAAATATTGTCTGCAAAAATAATTATTGAGCATATTTTATGCCAACTCTACAATTCTTAAGACAGCCTATGGTACGAGAAAATCCTGCCATAAAATCAAACTTCAGATATTCAGTTCTATTTTGTCGGTAAACTGAAGGAAAATCTGATTATCAGATTCAAAAACTAACTTCTGTAATAAAAATTATACTTTTAATGTAGAAGTTAATTTTGAATTAAATTGACCCCATTCGGAGCCCGAATTCTGATTGCGTTATTGTATTTGTGTGAACTTACTAATCCTTGGAAACTGAACGAAATTCTGATTATCAGTTCCAAGAACTAACTTCTGTAATAAAAAACATACTTTTAATATCGAAGTTAATTATAATTAAATTGATCCGAATTCTGATTGTGTTACTGCTTTTGTGTGGACTTCTTTATACTTGGACCGTTTATCTTCGAAACTCTCTCCTCAAGATCCTAAGACATGAGCTCTTACGAGTGCATGGTACGGAGAGATCCTGTGATAGGTTCGTTCAAGGGGGAGAAACGTAGGACTCTACATGAGTTTAAAGCCCGTATTACATGTCATGTTGCTGAAATCTTTCGAAAGTTTCTTCCAGGATGACCTCTGAACATGCTATAATGCACTTCCAGCACGAAAAACTGAGACCACTATGAGCATATACTGCAATTGAATATATTTCAAAGATTCTGGGAAATGTTTTGTTCTTTAGGCGCAACAAGTGCAGTAAAAATTTGAGCTGTTCTTTTGTTGCAGAAATCATTTCCCATGGTGCATAAACACCATAGTTTCATCAAAATTTAATTAGTGTAACGGGTTCCAGAGGGTTCTGAATTTGGTCACTTCATGTGTGACCACCCTGGATTTAAGAGAATATTTTTCTTCTCTTAATTTAGTGATGGAGAATGTATGATGGAGTTGAAGGCTGAATTGCCACACTCTGATGAGGAAGATGAAAGCGATAATGAAGTTGATGATTGTGGATTTAACCATGATGAGTTAGATGTGGTTGTTGAGAAGGAAGTTGATTGTGAAGTCGTAGGTGAAGTAGTAGTGGATGAAAAAGTTGAAGATGACTTCACAAGGTATATTAATTAATAATTTTTTTATGGTAATTTAATATTTCATTAAAAATGAGCTTCAAGTGCTTGAGTTATTTTCAACGTATTTCAAATAGTACTTTCGTAACTACTTTAGAATTAAAGTGTAATATAAATATTTAGATGAAAACACTTGTGCTTTATACAAAAATGAAGCTTATTATTTCATTCTTGAATCAGTCAGTATTCTTGAATCAGTACAGACTATCAAACATGATCTTCTGACATATATACAGAATAAATGCAAGCAATATATTAAAAAATTGAATTTCCTACTTTGCCAAAAAAAAATTAAACTATGATGTATGAATCATAAACACACCGGTTAAAAAAATTGAAAAATGCTTAGAGAATTCATTTTGAGGATTTCAAGTAGAAAACAAAGAAAAAGCAGGCTTAAAGAGTGGGTCAAATACCTTCCTATCTCCTTCAGAATTTCTTTTTTTGAGAATCTTTAGATTATTTTTAGTGGGGACACAAAGATAAGCTACAAATTTAGTTAACAAAAACATTTTATTTTACTAGTAAATCTAATTTGTTTTTCCTTCTTTCCTATCTATAGTGATGCACGTGTTTATCCAAACTATTTATTTTCTGATGAAAAGATAGCAAAATTGTACAAGTTGGATACAGTGCATGAAAAGGATTCGATTGCATATGGTATTCCGGACAATAGGTATTTTTTTCTTTTTAAAAATTTTGATTATATAGAGTGATTCAGAACAGGATTGAGAATTGTATAGTTAGCAACCCATGGCCAACGGGGGTCTTTTTATTATGAATGGGTTGTTAATAGCAGTTTAGTCTTAATTTTATGTTTTTTTGTAACTATGCTAAAAATTGTAATCAAATAGGCCCAGAAACAGCTGTTTTGTCGTAATCTAATGTTTTGACGACAGATTTGGTGAATTTAACATATTAGTCCCGGCATCAGTCAATTGCGATGAAAAGGTATTTTAGTACCTATTTGAATGCAATTTTCGACACTCTTAAATAGTCTAATGCTTTGAAGACAAATTTGGTGAATTTAACATGCTAGTCCCGGTATTATTAAATTGCGATGAAAAGGTATTTTAGGACCTACTTGAATGCAATTTTTAACATTCTTAAATAGTCTAATGTTTTGAAGGCAAATTGTTTGAATTTAACATGTTAGTCCCGGTACTATTAAATTGCGATGAAAAGGTATTTTGGTACCTATTTGAATGCAATTTTCGACATTCTTAAATAGTCTAATGCTTTGAAGACAAATTTGGTGAATTTAGCATGTTAATCCCGGTACTATTAAATTGCGATGAAGAGGTATTTTGGTACCTATTTGAATGCATTTTTCGACATTCTTAAATAGTCTAATGTCTTGACGACAAATTTGGTGAATTTAACATGTTAGTCCCGGTACTATTAAATTGCGATGAAAAGGTATTTTAGGACCTACTTGAATGCATTTTTCGACATTCTTAAATAGTAACGTAAAATTGACGCAGAATTAAAATTATCTCCCTAGTAAAAGAAGTATTTTCCCTAGTCCTATTTTCCTAGTAAAAGAAGTAATTTCCATAGTCCTATTTCCCTTGTAAAAGAAGTATTTTCCCTAGTATTTCCCTAGTAAAAGATATGATATTCGACATTTAATTGCCGCCTCCCTAAGTTTAACATTGAAAATTGATCTGATGGTTGTTTTTTTTTGTTGTGATATATTTAATGAAAACTTTCTTCTAAATAAGTTCTGGATATAAAACTAATCATCATTTCCATTCGACGAACTGATTAGTAGTAATTCAAAGGACTAACAAATAAAAAAATGAGATAAACTTAAATTAAAAATAAATATTAGTTTGAAATTAACTGAATAGCATTTTAAAATACAGTCTAAGTATTAATGCGCAAACCAGCTACAATAGCACTTTTTGGATAAATCTGAATACCTCATAAATTAAATAAAAATTAATATGTAAATTTCAAAAATGTTAAAAAATTTTAACAATTACTTGATAAAAAAAAACTATTAAAGGAAATTATAAATTAAAGTATAAATTTCTAATGCATCTACGTTTTAGTAATTGAAATTAACATTTTCATTTATAAACGCATAGAAATATGTGTTTTTAGAAACTTAACTGAATTAAATAACAATTTATTCTTAAAATTAATTGTATTTTAACAGCAAACTTATATCACAAAAATTTTTGGTGAGCTCTTTATAACGTGAATATCTTTTTCTTTTTAAATTTTAGATTGGAAAAACATGATGGTTTCTTCATAAGAGAGAAAAAAAATTATTATGATGTGAGTGATATTGATTTTAACATCCTCGAGTATGTTGAAAAGAAAATCGAGAAAAAGGGTTGCTTCAGCTTTTTCTCAAGAATTTTCAACAGAATTTTCAAAAAATAATAAACAAGATCAATCTGAAGTGCCATCATTTACCATCTTAAAAAACCTGCTATTTCCGACAAAATTTGACATCATATTGTTGTGATACTTGAAAGCATGTATCCCGAAATTGACATTTAAATAATTATATTGCCGAAAGTCTTGAACATCTCTAGACTATTTAGACTGAAATTGAAAGTCTAATAATTATATTGCTGTGATTATGTAACATCTGTAAATTGTCTATCGCAGAAAATATAATATTTGGCAAGATTAAAGTGTCTTTTATTTATATTTAGTGTAAGCAAACACGTGTCTAATCGTCATGTCTTCACTTATGTGTCGTCACGCCATGTCTTAATCATAAAAACATTTTTTATTTCAAATATATTATTCCAGGATTTAATACATGGATAGCTAGTGTAATACATTTATACGTACTTATTTTAACCCTTTGCTTACGGTGTTCCATGTTGTATCATCAGATGTGGTCCACATGTTGTGCCAGCCGTAAGCAAAAGGTTAATATACCTCAACTTGCATTTTACTTCAAATAAGATTAATAAAAACTTGCATACTAGCAGTCATAGCCAGCCCACTGTTCAAGGGTTAACAGCAACGAGAAAAGAAATAAAATGACTAATAATTACAATACAACTCTTAATAATACAACTCTTAGTAAATTATCAACTCAAAAGTTATTTAGGTTGTTCCGCTTTTAATTTTGCTCTCTATACTATCATCGGATAGGGAAAGGAAATAATAAAATTTGATATTATTTTAAATGTTTGAATAGTGTCAGAAAATGGCTATTAGATCTGAGTTTATTTTCGTAGTGTTTATTGCAACCGATTCATTGATTGTTTACGCATTTTTTTAAAAAAATTCCGTATAAAGATTGTAGGAAAATATATGAAATATCAGTAGGAAAATAAATGAAATAAAATTAATTTGAATTCAAATATACTAGAATGGTCTTTATAGACCTTGTTGAAACACGAAATAAGTCACCAATATATCATTTTTGGACTGGATTCTGGTTTTGAATTTAACTACTACCATTTAAAACTTAAAAATTAATTAACTTTAGGTAAGTTGTATTTTTAAACTAAATTATTTGCTCAAAAAGTAACAATAATTGCACAGTATTTCAAATTTTGCTAAGGATTTTAATATAATTTAAGCTTACATGTTTAAAAATTCCATTAAATATAAAACTATAAAAATATAAAAACATTATATTAGGTACTAAATATTGTTAGATTAAAAACCTAGATTGAACAACAAATTGTATTCTAGAAAAAAAATACTCACTCATATTTTGCATGTATTATTTAATGTAAGGGAATGTTTTTTTTCCTTTTTACCGCCAGTAATGTGTAAAACCTGCTTTTTTAGTGATTTTAATAATACTTCTAACAGAAACTTTTACTATGCAAACTAACTCTTACGACTAATAACTAAATTCTAACACAAAACGCAAAAAAAATGTCAACACGTAAATTTATTAAATTTCTATTTAACAATTTAATTTTCCTGAACTTTTAACATCATTTTTTCAACTGGCCAATTTATCATGACATATCAAGGATTAAAAAAGTAATCGTGAACTTAGCTGTTTAGGTTAAATGGGTGCAAAATTGAGTAATCGGTATCCTTAAGCCTTAACAAACTTAAGTCAAGATTCTTAGAGCATGAACGAAGAAATGTATTCTGCCTGTTCTACATGCGCTGTCAAAAGTAGTTTAAGGCCAGAACTACTTGTCAGACTTTTCGAAAAGTTAACTCAAATTAGGCGTCTTATTGAATTACTTTTACGCTTCCCGAGGGTTCGTTGTCTCGAAAAATCTTAAAAGTTACCGACTAAAAGCAAATGGTATCTAAAAATTTATTTTCTAAGAGTGTCAGGAATCAGATTTGGTTACTGCGTCGAGTACTTCAATTATTCTGACTTTTTTATTAATAGAAATTATTAAGACGTAAATCTTATTTTGTAATTATGTAGTCCTTACTGTATGGAAATTGAATTTAATTCCTAAAATTACAATAAGTTTTTAATATTTTTTTTATTTAAAACATTTAAAATTTTTTTTTGTTAAATACACGAAAAAAAAACCTGTCAGCTGATGTACAAGAATAAAACTCACAGGCGATACTGTTATTCAGTTTATTCGCAGGTTATACTGTTATTTTAAAACGGATACTTGCTTTTTAGGCAGATAAGTATTGTTTATTTTATTAAACAAACTTCGTTATTTCAAAATTTAAAAAAAATGAGATTTTAGCAACCGAACTATTTTTTAACAAACACACTCTGCTGTTTTATCAAACAAATTCTGTTATTTTAACTAGAAAAATTTCGATAAAATAACACTGCAGGCATTGGGGATCAGAATGCGTAAAAGCAGACAACGCTGGGGTTAGAACCTGAGTGACCTCATTTGAAGGCGAGTGCTTTGTTCCCTTAAATACTGAAGCTCTATTCCACATTATGAAGAAATTTTTTAAACTTTCTTTGTTTTAAAAGTCTTATTGAAGTCTTATTTAAGTGTAAAAACATGAAAAAATATAGTAGCACACCCTTTTAAAATTGACTGTTAACTTACCACAAAATTATGTCTAAAGAAATATAATATTCGGTAGAATAGAACTTTGATAAGAGAGTTGACTTGCAGTTTTATTTACTTGATGTTCAAAACATAAAAATAATTGCTAAAAAAATAATAGCGAGTATAGAAAATAATTATGAAATGCTTTAAAAAAAGGCTATTGTACAGTAAGCAAAAATGAGTGGCAACAATTAGAAATTGAACAGACAGTTTTAATCCGTTTATGATTAGAGTGAAAAGCAAAGACAAATTGCTTTGGCAACAATACAGCTTTAAACATTCTGTGAAAAAAAAATGGGAATTCTTGCATTTCGCGGATAACTGTAAAAAAAAATCTGCATTTTTAGATAGTTTTTTTTCTCCAAAAAAATATGATTTTCTTTCTGTAGAATTTGCAGTTATATTTTACAGTGTGCCTTGAATATGTATTTTTTTTAAGAATCTCTATTGAAATGAATTCTGACTTTTTAGAACTAGAGATTATTAAGAAAGTAACCTCATTTTGTAATAATGCATTCCTAACAGCATTGAGTTTAAAACTAATTTCTCATAGTAAAATGTTTTAGTTGAATTTCTCATATAAACTATTCCATAGACAATACCTCTAATGTGTATTATTTTAGATTTTTTAATTAAATGTATGTCCTTCTCACCTTTTTATAACTAAAGATAATCTTATTTTACAATTAGTTAACAAGGTATTCCATAAACAGCCCCCTTAACATCAATATTTATAGAATCTTAATGAAGTAAAAAAAACATCATGTAAGTAGTTACTTAAATTAGATAACCGTTATTGAAACTTGATAAATTTCATCTAAGGTAATGATGGCGGAAATAAAAACATCAAAGTTACTGTTACTGCCCAATTTCACTGTCGTATGTTGGGCCCACATATATAGTGCTAATCTTAGAACGCCCTGCTCGGATGAAATTAAAAGAACAATTCGAATAACCTCTATTCACTTGTGTTCAGTTTTTTCTCCAACAATTAGACTAATAACACATTGAATCCAATTTCTGAACTAAATGATGTATCTGAGATAAATTTGCGCCTTTATGATGACATCTAGACTTTTTATTCGATTTAGATAATCAGACTGATTTTTCTTGTTTTCCATTCGCATTTCCTCACTAATGATTCTACAATTTTTCTCAGGTGCTTTTGTTTCTTTTCGGTTAGATATTAATTCACAATTCCTAACATGTATACTTATTTGAATTAATTTTCTCTCTACGGAATATTTTGAAGAAATTATATTAGTCTACTATAAATCAAATCTCACAAAAACAATTCCTAAATTAAAAACACCTAAAATGAATCAAAAAGCGAAAATTTTATTATTTATAGATGCGAAGGCAGAATAAATACAATCGAGACACATGTAATAGCAGCAGACGATTTTTAATCTCGTTGTCATAGCAACAATAGAACTTTAACTATTAGTGCTGAAATATTTGTTAGTCAGTGTTCAGTCCTTTTTTTTCTTTAATAGCTTGAATCATATATGAGCTTAGAGAGCCCAATGCTGTTGTATAACCCGTAATAATTAAACTCTAACAAGTGTCAAAACTAAGGAAATATTGCGCAGATAGCAGTTCGGCAATGATACTCCAGTCGATAGCTCAAATCGCACTATTTATTAAAAAAAAGGGACCAGAAGAAGCCTTGTCGAATGATTTTTGACCACGAATGAGAGAATTTTTACGACAGAGAGAATTTTCCGTGACATTATTTATAATGAACGACGATTAAAGTTCGAGAAAATAATGCTATAACAGAGATTACGTAAGTGTGCAAAGCATAACTCATGAAAAGTTGAAATATCGAAAAATATCAGGGTGCCTAGGGTGCCGAGATGGGTACCACAAATCAGAAGGATGCAAGAAAAGGCAATTGTAAAAGATTATTGAGTGGCTATGAAGCAAATGAAAACTCATGTTTGACTCCAAACTTGTGTTGAATCTTGGGTGTACCCTTACACAATATTAAAGTTTTCTTGAGGTGGTTTTAAGGTTGTCAGGAGTAAAAAAATACACCTGAGGTTGTGTGGTTGTGTTTTGCACCAAAAGTAAACCTCAATTTCGACCTCATTTGCAACGAATCAAATAAACCTCATGCATAACTCAGCAATACTTTTAGTTGAAATCGGGAGAAGTCACTCACACCTCAATTATACTAATTTGCTTAAAGTGTAAAAAAGAATAACCTGCTCACCTCCAAAACAAAATCTCTAAGGTAGTTGCTTTAAGATAGATTCATACAGGTTGCTTTAAGATAGATTCATTCAACCTCATACAGCCTCAAGTGTGAATAAAACAACTTTATACACCTTGATTATAATCCTTTCGAGGTTATTTTTTTTCTGTAGTTTCTGAAATCAACTTCAATTAATCCTTAAGTCAACTTTA